AAACAAGTGGAGGAGAGAGCTGAGAGAAATCAGCCTGTACACGGGGCTGCCCAGGCAGACCGAGTGGGTCCTCAGGTACAAGAGGAAGTCCGGTTCCACCATTTCTTCTTCAAATCGGTACCTTAGAGTGAGCTGTTTTTATCTACAGGGACCTTGTTTCTATGGTAGCCCAGAAAGGACGGACAAACTCGGTTTTGCTGCTGTACTTTCTCCTCCACACTGGTCCTTTTTAATGATCCTAGTTAATTTTATCAGACTTTGTACTGCTCTTTTCTTTCTAAAGACCTTTTTCACTTTTTTACATGATAAAGGGATTATAATGTCTTAAACATAGCAGCACAGTTAATCAGGACCAATGACCAAGTGTATTATGTGAATTACAGAAGCTGTAATGTTTTTGATGAAGGTGAAATATAATAAAAAACTGCATTATAACGAAGTCCTGGACTTCAGAGGAGATGCGCTGGTCTACAGATGTTGTTCTCTAGATTTAATAAAACAGGCTTTTTCTTGTACAGACCCAAATTTTAATAATTAAATGAATTTTTGTGTTTTTTTTGGGGTGAAAATGTAAATTTGTGATGCTGAAATGATCATTCCCACATTAATTAAAGGCTGTGAATCAGACTACCTCCCTGTTTAATAAGGGAAAAGCAGTAAACACACCTGTATGTGTTGTTTTTTTTTTATCCCAGAAACCTGAATGTGAGCTGGGAGCTGACGGTGTGCGACTGTTGGGGACGGGAGAACACGCTGGTGCAGAGCCGGGCGTACTTCTTCGAGTCCTCCGTGATCGTCCGCTGGAGTGGAGGCAGCTTCCCCGAATACCAATACATCAGTAACATCCAGCTGCACGGAGTCCGGAAGGAGACGCTGAAGAGCCCCGGTGTCAGGAAGTAAGATACACTTCTCCTTTACGCCGCCTCATCCCTTCTTCCACCACCATCACACCTTCACCGCTCCTTCCTCTTCCTCTCCATCAGGCCCGGCTGGCGCTCTCTGATTTTAAAGTTGGACATGAAGTGTCAGCGCGGTCGGTTCCTCGGCAAAGACCGACTGATCAAGCTGATACATCTGTCACCGGGCTTCATCGTAGGCGTCTGGAGGGTGAGTGTTCGATGTGTGGGTCAGTAAAATACACTTGCACTTACTTTGTGATAATTAATTAGAACAATTATTTAGCTGTTTGTCTTTTTAATACATGAATTAGTTCCTCAAGTCACAACACAAGAGAACCAAAGTGAAGAGGTGGGTTGCAGGTCAGGGTTGTCCAGCAGAGGGCAGCATAGACCTGCCAATACTAAATATAATGCTGTTTTATGAGGAGGTGCAGGAGGCAAATTCATTGTTATTAAAGTCAGAAAATATATATATTTACAGTGACCAATAAGATGGAACAAAATGTTCTGAAGTAACAATAAATGAAGAAATAAAAGAAATGGTATACAATATGCATATATACTTCCAAAATAATGTACTGTGTGTGTGTGTGTGTGTGTGTGTGTGTGTGTGTGTGTGTGTGTGTGTAGGGTCTAAGTGCTGTGGCTTTCATCATGGTCAGCCTGCACTTCCACAGGTTGGTGGAGAAGAGTCTGCTGGGGTCTCCTGTCTGGTGAGTTCAGCTGTCATTAACTCTTAACTGCTGCTTAAAAAACATGGAAAACCTGACAATTACCAGATATCCTGGAATTAAACTGTATGGTATTTTAGCCCGTAATGCAGCTCTTCACCTTACATCGCCTATGTGTATGGTTTGAGACTTGACCCTTAATTCAAAACGGGTTAAGTAGATGTGGAACGAACAATCTTTTTAGCGTCAAGTCTATTTTTTCCTCAGAAGACTGTTGTTCTGATTAATAAATACACTTACAGAATTTGTACGTGCAACAAACACTTTCTACTGCTTCTTTTAGTAGGCTAATAGGTTAGAAGATGAATTTTTTTTCACTTACCTATAATGAACCCCGAGACATTTCATCATTAATCCTGCATCAGTAAAAATGGAGGATTAAAACTGATTAAATGTGTAAATACTAGGCCTACCAGTAAATTATGAGTGTTTATGAGCAAGTATTTGTCTCTATTGTCAAGAAAACTCCTGGAAAGGTCCTGGAAGACCTCCCAGATATATTCAGAACAGCATCAAAACAGAGCCAGAGTTAAAGTGCTGAATTTGTCCAGGAAGTCCAGTCATTGGGTGAGAGCACCCTCTGCTGGTCACAACACATCACTGCAGCTTCATTAACCCAGCTGAACACATGTATGAGGTATAACAAATGTTAAATCTTACAATAATAAAAATAATCATTATGTCCATTAAAAGGGGTAGAACGTGTGATTACTGATGAGGATTAGTTCTTATTAGCAATAAGGTTTTTATTAATATTTCATATCTTTAAGAGTAAATTTCATCATTTAAAAGAAACTTTTGAACACCTAAAATCAGTTATTATCTGTTGTTAAATTTAAAGGAGATTGATAAGCTTTGATTTAATCAAACATTTCTTTATAATCGATAATCTGTTGTATTCATCTTGACTCTGCGTGGTTTGTCCCTTCCTGCAGCCCGTACTCGGAGCCTGTGGACCTTCCACGTGTGGATAACTCCGATTCTGAGTTTGGTCTGCACGGCTACACTCTGCACTTCGTCCTGCACAACACCGGCACTGAGATCATGTCAGGACACTTCCGCCAGCTCTCCTGTTGCAGAGGTAATCTGATTACATAATCTGAGGGTGAGTTAGAGACCACGCCCCCTAAAGTCACTGTCCTTTGCAGGTTGCTTTTTAAATTTGCTTGAGGGAGGGAGCAAGCAGAACTGAACCGTGTAGTTACACTTTAAACTTCTCTTTCACCATTTTTATCCAAAATAAACCAAATTCTGACTTTAATCACAAATTCTTCAGTTGATAAATAACATTCAGAGGAAAAAAAATAAGAATAAGCTGTCCTGGTTACGGTTTAAATACCTAAAGTTTGTTGTGTTGCTGCGATCAGTTCAGATCCAGCGTGGACTGCTGGAGCTGAAGGTCATCAACAGGACCAACTTGTCCCAGCACAGATCGCTGTCTGGAAACATCAAGATGCCCTGGAAGAGCGAGGCCCTGGAGGGCTCAGTGGAGGTACCTCTGTCCAAAACAACAGAGACATTACAGTCGCCCGCAGTATTTCAAAACATCCAGTGTAGAGCCACTATGATGAGCTTGAGTCAGAAGTGCTAAATATTTGGAAATACACATCACAAGTTAGAAGATTAATCATGTCTGTGCGGTAAATGAAGCTACAACCACCAGCTAGTTAGTTTAGCATAAAAACTGGAAACATGGGGGCTGTTATACAGAAACCTGAAAGTCAGAAATGGGATGACATTTAGGATCTTTGGTATTACAGAAACACGTTTCCTAACTGCATTTATGAACAAATCCTATATTCAGATTAGAATTTAGTGTTTATAGAACAATCCTGAGTGAAGAAGTTAGGCATAGACAAAGTCCTGACTTCGAAATAAATGACAAGACTGGGTACTCCAGAACCACAGTTGTTCGTAGGTGTTGGAAAACATTGATTCACGTAAGTATTGGGATTCTTCCTTTGTTTTTTAAATTCCTAAAATCTATTCTATATAAATAGCTAGTGCTAGTCTTAGTTTGATGTTGACGCTAATGGGAATAAACATTGCAGTTGCGACAATAACTAATGATCCATTTTATTTAACATAAAACTACGCGTGTTCGTACTTAAAGGCAAATATTTCCTATGTTCTGTGGAAACTAACAGCTGCTAACATTGCTATGTCAAAACCGCAATAGCAAGCTACCTAGCCTGGGACAGGTGAAGCGAAACAGTCTTTGTCAAGGAAGGCGGTGTTCTGTACATTTTAAACACGGGCATGATAGGATGAGTTTACAGTTGCGATTAGGATTTCTTAAGATAAGAAACGAGGTCTGAGAAAGGATTGGACACAGCCATGAGTTTAGGACTTCTGTAATAGGAAGATAGGGTTTTTCCCTATCTTTGAAACTTAAGATAGGACAAGCAGTTGGGGTTATTTTTGTAATGAGGTTCCAGAGATTCCAGAGTTCCAGTTTTTCTAATAAGTGTATTTCCTAAAGTATTCTTTTCCAACATTAAAACTGACTCAACTCCATGAAAAAAACAAAGAATATGAGCACTTCAACCAGTCACATGTGCGCACACTGTGATCTTAGACGTCTGTTTAGACCGACAACTCAGCAAAGTAAGTTTCGCTTTGACTCAGCTGTTGGGGTGGAAATGGGGTCACATCCCTTTTTTTTCCAGCGCTGATGGTTCTTTCTTACATCACATAGAGCTGCTGCATCATAACGCTGACTCTGCTGGACGAGTTCCAGAAACCCTTCTGGTGTGTCAGCTCACCCATTCGCGCCAAAAACGCAAAGAAGAAGCTGACCTTCGACTACAGCGGCGAGCACTTTCTGATGGAGTACCTGAGCGCGGAGGGTCAGGTGAAGATGAAACTGGTCTGGTTGAAGGAGCAGAAACAGTTCTTCCTCATCAGCCTCGCTGTCTACATCCCTGTTTACAAGGTCAACAAGCACTTCAGCAGAAAGTACTGAGGCCGAACTGGATCGCTCAGAGTTCTGGTTTCTGATTTTTCCAGTTTTGACACAGTGACTTTTGAGTTTTTCCAGTGTTTAAATCAGTTGTTTACAAAATGTCCTACTTTGTAGATTTTGTAAATTTACTTCAAGCATATGCTGTTGAAACTTCATGTGTTAGTCTGATTTTAGAAGAAAAGCTTCTGAAATTCTTTATTAGTATTTATTTTGTTCATAATACAGAAAGTGTGCCACAGGTGATTTTGTTTCTATTACATTTATAGAATAAAAGTAAGAAGAAAACTGTAATATGCAAATAGATCAGTGACAGGAGACTAGATCCAGAAAAAGCACTTGATTTCAGTATTTACTGAGTATATATTAATTTCAGTAAGTCCGTTTCAAACACAAACACATGGGAGATTGTCATGTGACAAATTAAAAAGTTGTTTTGTAAAAGTTGATCATTGTTTTTTTATTTGCAGTGCTCATCCTTGACAAAAGGAATTATATATATGTTTTTACTGCTTGGATGCTTGAACGCAAGTTTAAAGGTTGCATTACATTTGAATGTAACCAGAATTTCAGTTCATTACCATTTATGTAATGTCAGGATATATACATTGTTAGGAATTAAAGGACAATGTTGAGTCTGTTAATTCCTGATAATGGACACGTCAAACAACATTATTCGTCATTCAAAAAGATGAGACCATTAATTTATATTTTCATTTTCATACAATCAGAGGCGAAAGTTTTTCCACAAGCCATGACTCCCTGGTAACGTCTGAGGGTTTGACAATCATTACCATCCCATAAGGTTCTTATGAAACGGAAACATTGTTCACTACTTCAGTAAATAGATGACATAGAACTTTTCTGGGCGAACAAATTATGAATCTAATCCGTGTGATTGACAGGAAAGATAATCAGTGGAGTTTGATTTATACCACCATTCGTGCAGCGAGCGATAAATGGGAAGAGTTTCTCAGTGAAGGAGTAAAGAAGATCTGCAGCATCTGCATCATAAAATGAGGCCAGACTCTCCTCCCAACTTTGGAAAGGCAAGGATCATTTAAGTTCCTCAAGTCAGGTAGCCATCCTCAAGACTCTGTGTGATCGGTCCCTTTCTGTTGTTTAAGTCTTTGTTCACTCCAGCAGACACATCGGAAAAATCTCTCAGGGTTGTCCAGCAGTTTCTTCCTCACATCACAAACTTGTTTCCCATCACAAGACTGGATGAGATTGGGATGTGCTGCATCAGGATCCAGAGTCACCTCCACTGTAAACTGCTGGAGGCTCTTCAGCTCAGCCTTCTTGCTATCATGCCCCTGTAGCCTGAGATCTAAAACAAGGCAGAGATAGACGCACACAATTATTATTATTTTTTTGACAATCCACGTCACAATGATTTTGGGAGAACAATCTATTTTTCTTGTAGTTTGTTGACATGGCTCAAAGTTTTGCTATAATTGGGTCAGTGGGTCCATTATTAACAGTCAAGGTAAGTTGTTTATGGATGCTACTCAATCCAGTGACCTAAAAATGGATGGATGAATGGATGAATGAATGGAGACAAACCCTCTTTTGAGACCCATCTAGTCCTCGTCTTGGCTCAGAGCCAAATATCACACACCAAACAAGCTTTTTCACTTCAAGGTGTTTTTTTTCTTGATTTTTGGTTTTTGAATTCTTCTTTCCTGTTTGTGATCCAGTTTTACCTTCCCCCAACTTACCTTTTGGGTCCAGACAGGAGTTTTGCAGACTCGGAACCAGATCATTCCTGCTGATCTTCTCTAAGACCTTCATGGTTTCCTTTATAGCTCCAGTGTCACCATATTTCTGTGCCATCAGATCCACTGTGTCTTGCCTGTCCGCGTTCTCCAGCTGAGCCACTGAGATGCCTGAGTCGCCTTCTGAGACGTCCTCCTGCTTTAGGAACCACTTGAATTTCTTGAACTCGTCATCTTTTAATTGCTGCAACGCCTTCCAGATCATCACTGAAAGTTTCGCCATTGTTGTCTTATTTTTAAGGATATTTGAGTTATCTGTTAGGATGATTCAACCTGTCAACATATAAAGGTGGTATGGCGAAGATGTTAGTAAACACTGAGCAACACATGGACTTGTGTTTATAGCCACCTGATGAAGGTAAGTCTAGTATGCACTCTTAAAGCTCTGTTATGCTCTTGACCAACTCCAAAGAGAAATATCTTGCTCTTTAAGGTAGTTGCTTTCTGCTGTTTTATACTGGGAGGTTGCGTACTGAGAGCCTTTTCATTAAAACATTTTTTCTACTGTGGCAGTTAAAGATTAATTTACCTTATTCTATACCATCAGTGCCACTCTTGTAGACAGGCACGTCAAATGCAAAACATATATTCTCTGACTTTAAGTGGAGAAAGTACTTTTTCAAATGGCAAATTCAGAGACAGAAGACAAATTATACATTTCAAAGACCCCCAGTATTTGAGGGATTTTATTTCTGTATCTCTACATACTTAAGCACAGAAACATTTGTTATTAAATCTCTTCATACAACTCACCAAGCTGAATTTAGCACTTCAAGTGTAGAAAGACAAATAAGTCAGTTAAATTATTCTAACACTGAAGTGATCTTAAGTGAAGGAGAGTTTGGTTTCTTTTCCTTCACTTGCTCTTATAAAATCCCCACCCTTATTCTCTCTTGTCAAGGAGCTCAGGTTCCTCATTGAGGTGGACTGTACGTGATCACAGGCCCAAAGCATCAGACCAGCTCATAAAACAAGATATACAAGTGTAAAATGACTCCAGAATTCCTACCTTTGTTGTAAGATGTACTTCTTTCTGATAAAGTCAGATATACCTTCTTCAACTTGGTTATTAGTATAGATCAAATGCAAAAGGTCAGAGTCAACTTAATGTCTGTGTCCACACCTTATCCTCGAATGGTCATAAAGTCAGAGTGTCAGCTGCAGTGCACTGTGAAAACCACACAACAGATGATAATTATTTGCAGAGAAAGGTCTGACTTCCCTCTTGCGGAGTTAAACATGAGGATTGTCATGTGATTTATTTATTTTTTGACCACATAGTAAAGGGTTGGTTTAGATTTTCTGAAGCCCTGTTTATCCATACATCCATCAGTTTTATTGCTTATTGTACTGTATTTAAACCAAAGAACATCAGGTTAACTGAACTGCCTATGCAGTAGCTTTGCGTTTAACCTGTTACATCACCTAAAAGCACATTACTGTACTCTATAAATGACAGTTCCTCATCATTCCAAGATTTGAGCTTCCTACTTCAAAGCTACAACTATTGTTACCTAACTGTACAGCTGCAGTTTTGGTCGAATATTGTGACTATGTGACCATATTATAGCATTACACCTTAATTACTTTACACATTCTGCAGAACATCAATGTTAATTATTTTACTCAGTTTTGTTTCCCAGTAAAATATATCTTGTATCATTTTTTTTCTCCTTTCTTATAAAAGGTCTTTATGTATACAGTACAATCAAGTACTCCCAAGTTAAAAATTGCATAAAGTCTGTGGAGGCCCATTCAGTCCCATTGTATTTATAACTGGGACCTTTACTGTATAAAGGATAAACTCAGTTCATATTTATAATGCTCACTATTGCACATGGACTAATTTCAAATAACGTCTCTATAATGACGTGTACAGTTTGAGTTATACTCTTTAATGAATTAATAATTCCTAATACAGACATGTTACATCTGAAAATCAGACATTAAAGTTAATTAGTTTTCATATGATTATAAACGTATTGTTTGTGTGTAATAAGGTTATAATATAATATATGCCAAGATTTTATGTGAAAATGAGAAAAGTACAAAATATTACATGCTTAAACTGTTTGTGTTAATCAGATGACTTCAGTTTGTTTTCAGTGAAAAACAACAAAAAACGCACTTCATTTTGAAAGAAAAGCTTGAAATTCTTTATTTGTATTTCAGAATGTGATAAATAGGCAACATGCCAAGTACATTACTGTTACATTACAAGTATAGTACATGGATTAGATCTGATAACATTAGATTATAATCGAAAGATTGACAAAAGTGAAAGGTCACACTTGTAAAATGTGTATTCTGTTGTTCCTCAACACAATTAAATGTTTACATGCCTTACTAAACAAATCGACACCCCATCAGAAATTAATGAAAAAAAATAAAAGTAGTAATGGAATACAGCCAAAATAAAAACATAAGAAAATACACCAGAACATTGCATATGCCAATAGGCTCAAATTTAATTTTTACAGACTGTCACTAACTGAGATCTTCCTCACTCTTTTGTTGCATCTGTTGAAGTAATTTTCTTGCAAAGACAGACCATTTCATTTGATATCTTTGTCATATTAAGAATATATAGGTCATACACTGCAACATATACATATCCATTAAAAATGTTGAGGATAACACAAAAAGTTCAAGGATAAGTTATTTACAAAGATGCCAATACAAGTCATCATCCCATCAAATAATCTCAACTGTTGTTCTTGACTGACCTAATATTGGTTGTATTGTGATCTGTAAATGAAATCTTAGGCTTTTTTCTTGTGATTGATTACACTTAGACTTAATTTTCCTAAAGCGTGGGCTCTTGATTAAGTAAAAGCCTTGAACATTCTGAATGATCCGTCATGTTTAACTTTTTTTGGCGCACTATTGCCACAAACTGTTCTTCAGTGGAATTGTTCGACTTCCATAACTTCCAGGGGTTATACCGCATAGACCCCTTTTCATTTAATAGAAATGAAAATCAGCAGAATATAAACACAAGTGATTAAAACCTTTACTGAGTACTTTAACTTGAGACACTATAGACATTTATTATTCTCATTGGTACATTACTTTAGGCTTGGTGCCATAAATATAATTTGCTGCTACACTCTGGCCAACTTTAACCTTTACTTCTTCAAACTTAGTAGCAGCAGTCTTATGATTAATTGTTGTGATTGATAGGACAGATAATCAGAGGGGCAGAGTTTCTACCACCATCATTAGTACAGGGACTGAAGAATGGGTAGATTTTCTCAGTGAAGGAGCAGTCAGTAAAGGAGTAGAGAAGATCTGCAGTATCTACGTTATAAAAGGAGACCAGACCCTCCTCATAATCTACAAACACTCCCACCCTCTTTGGATAGTGATTGAGATAGAGGCGGACAGGGTTTTCATCATTAGCATCATACTTATTTCCATCTCTCAACCATAAAGTCCAGAAGCCATCCTCAGGACTCAGAGTAATCTGCTATTTCCTGTTGATCGATTCTGTGGCCACTCCTACAGTCCAGGCAGTCTTCCCTTTAACCTGAACCTCAAAGTAAAATCTTCCTGAGGAGAAACTCTGCTTTCCTAATACATTAACACATTTCTTAAACCTCTTAGAATTGTATTGGAGTTTCTTCCATACATCACCATCATGTACTTGTTTCCCATCATCAGACAGGAAGAGAGCAGGATGTGCTGTCTCAGGATCCAGAGTCACATCCACTGCAAACTGCTGGACACTCTTCAGCTCAGCCTTCCCTTTTTCATATTCTTTCTGATCACCAATATCCAGTGTCTTAATGTTCAGTGGGGGGTTGACTGGAGAGATAATCAGAGGGGCAGAGTTTCTACCACCATCATTAGTACAGGGACTGAAGAATGGGTAGAGTTTCTCAGTAAAGGAGCAGCCAGTAAAGGAGTACAGCTGATCTGCAGTATCTACATCATAAAAGGAGACCAGACCCTTCTCATAATCTACAAACACCCCCACCCTCTGAAGCTGTGACTTCAAAGAAAGGCAGACAGGGTTTTCATCGTTAGCCTCATACTTATTTCCATCTCTCAACCATACAGTCCAGAAACCATTCTCAGGACTCAGAGTAATCTGTTCTTTCCTGTTGATTGATTCTGTGGCCACTCCTAAAGTCCAGTCAGTCTTCCCTTTAACCTGAACCTCAAAGTAAAATCTTCCTGAGGACAAACTCTGCTTTCCTAAGACATTAACACAACTTTTAAACCTCTTAGGGTTGTATGGAAGCCTCTGCCTCACATCACCATGATGTACTTGTTTCTTATCACGAGACAGGATGAGATGAGGATGTGCTGTCTCAGGATCCAGAGTCACATCCACTGCAAACTGCTGGACAGTCTTCAGGTCAGCCTTCCTTTTTTCATATTTTTTCTGATCACCAGAGTCATGTGTGTTAAGGTTCAGTACACGATTAGCAGTAGATGCTAACTCCTCTACCTCGGTCTTCTTTTTGTCATCCTCCTCTTTCTGAGCATCAAAAAGTGTCTTGGGGTCTGAAACAAGGCAGAGCACACAGTCAGTTTTGCAGTGTGGCTGTTTACTGTTAGTCCCATTATTAGAATTTTGTGCTTCAATTTCTATTTTATTTTATGTGTATAACTTTTAGGACTAGTTAGTGGCTTGTTTTAGTTCTTAGTATCTTTTCATGTTAGTCTACACCTGCTAATCATATTTTGTAGTTTAAAAGAGTGAAAACTTCTCTTATACTGAATTTCAGTTGGTTGGCCTGCCACTCTAGTGATGGCAAAGCAAAACAGTCACCACATGCCAATTGATTTACAATTAACTGACAGTCTTCATCAGAACATTTTGTTCAAATGACCTAGCTGTAAAGTGATCCAGACATGAGGTCTCACTTCTTTGTCACTATAAAGGAGTACTGTCTTTATCCTGAATATGTTTTGTGGAAACAAACATATATTCAGTACTCTTGAGGTATGTCCTTTTGTTTATTGATTACACTCTTCACTTTAGAAAACCCTCTTCTGGAATCCACCTTATTATGGTTAACAGGTTTTGATAAGTTACAGCCAGCTGACAAGTTCAAGTCCAGGATCTACTTGCAGACTAATCGTTTTCTTTTTGATGTAAATGCAGGAATATTCTTTATCCAGCTTCTTTACTTTTTGATGAAGGTGGTGTACAAGAAAGAATGATAAATGAGTCTTTACTTCTTTTGTTTAATTTATGAGATTAATGTGACATTTATTCTGATGTTCATATTTTTACTTTCCCCTGACTTACCTGTTGGTCCTGGGCTGGAGGTTTGCAAACGCTGCACCAGATAATTTCTTCTGATCTTTTCTTAAACCTTCAAAGTTATCTTCAGAGCTCCAGGACCTGTATGTGTTTGTACCATTAAATCCACTGCGCTCTCCCTTTCTGCATTTTCCAACTCAGCCACTGGGATGCCTGGAAAACCTTCCAGGATGTCATCCTCCTTCAGGTTCCACTTGAATTCACCAAACTCCTTTCCTTTTAAGTCCTTCAGAGTACTCAAGAGGTCCTCTTTAAGTTTTGCCATTATTGGTCCCTGCTAAAAAATAAGAGATATTTTCATCTGAGGGATGTTTTGTGTTTATCCGAAGAATTATTTGTTTATCTCGTGCCACATCACCAGTGCAAATGTGCGACTGAAACTCAGCTAATGGATTATAGAAGTTTTGACATTTTCATTATTTCAGTCTTTTGGCAGTCCACACTAATTCAAGCGTGTCGTATATTCAAAATAGAGACATACAAATTTGCATTTTATATCAAATATTCATTATTCCAATAAAAAATCTTTTAAGACATTTTATCTTTTACATACCTCTACAAGAGTTCACGACTGGTCAAGCTGGATGTTGAAGGGAACAGTTTGGCCTGTGAAAACCTGACATGAAAGTAATAATGATTAGAGCTGCACTTTCACCACTTTCATTCCTGCTATTTAAACTAGGAAGTCAGCAACAGCTGCTACAGTTGTTGGTGATAAACACTTGTCCTCTTTCCTCTGGTTGAGCTAGATACTAAAACCAGCAAGGCAAGTTTATTTATATTACATATTGTCATACAAAAGACAATTCAAAGTACTTAATGTAATGCATTGAAACATTAGACCTGAAATATAGCATAATGACATGCTATATAACTGCAGTCACTGTTGTTGACAGGCTTGTCAAATGCTAATCACAACATTTTTATATGGCCTGATTATCTTTAGTAGTAGAGGAACAAAATTATTTCTTTCCCATTTTTTCTGTTATTTTTTCATTTCCCAGTTTTAGATAACTTAACAGAGTTAACGGCTAAGACTGTTTAATTACTGTTAATGTACAGATGTGTTTTTATTCAGGTTATGTTGTGTTGTTGATCTGATTAATGTATGTTACTGTAGTCTTTGAGACAGTGCTAAGGTGATGTTAGTTTAATGTTAAGCTTTACACAGACACCGTCTTTGCATGTAACTAACTCTCTTTTAACGGCACCATTAATCTACGATCACATACACACATATTCAGCCTAAACCTCAGCACATCATGAGGAGAGGAAAATCAAACACTCCTACATGCTCTTTGTCTCTCATCAACACATGTTTTATGCTCAGCTGAAACATCTGGTCAGAGGACAAAGGACACACACCTTTTCTGGCATGCAACCCCCCATACACACACACACACACACACACACAGACACACACACACACACACACACAGACACACACACACACACCTACACTCCTTTTTCCTCTAACTAAGTTCCTTTTAGTTTGATTATATATAGTATATTTTCCTCTGTTTATCTTTTATTGTCTTATTAATAAATGCTTGTGTTTATTTATGCTGGTCGATTTAATTTCGCACAAGAGTGGGTGATACCAGCCTCTTCTATGCAGAACTTCAAAGCCTTCCACTTTAATTATTAATAATGATTTTGGTTATAGTTATTAATTTCATTATTACCCTAATTAATAGTATAGTGTTTTTTATTAGACTGATCAATCAATTATTGGCTATTGTTTCCCTTTTTTAATGGTGGTTATTTATCATAGCACCCACACACGACTGGAAAAAGTACTGTCTGCAAATTCACAAAGTAGTTTAATTACACGTTACAAATACCACCAGTATCGACACATCTTCTGTTGTATCTCATTAAACGAGACATACTACAGAGAAATGTCATCTGTTTTAATAGAACTCACCAAGCAGAAATCAGCAGCTGCAGTCTTCAAATGTAGAAGGATCAATACAATCAAACTATTCCATGCAACACTGTAACGGTGTAACCTATACATTATATATATATATTATACTAAAGGTTTCCAGATGTACTTTGTGATCTTATGTAAAGGAAAGATGTGAAAACCATACAGATGCTAGTATTGTGCAGAGAAAGGCCTGACACCTTCCCCCAACCACCACAAAAGATCAGATGTCTACGTCTCATCCTTAAATGGTCATGAAGTCAAAGTGTCAGCTCAGTGGCACTACGGATGTTAATACTTGTGCAGAGAAAGATCTCACTTCCTTCTTTCAGGGTTATACCTGGGGTCTCTCTTGAATTTTGTCAGGGGCTGAGAAAGTTCACTTCAGTTTTACTCAAATGCCTTCCTGACTCTGTTACTCTGTCAGAATTGTCAGGAGCCTGTATTTCCTGTAAAAGCAAAGGCAAACCTTGTGTGCATTGAATGTTCAGGTTTGCGTTCTTGTCTGAGAGTTAAGAGTGGAACATGGACAAAGTTACTAAGCAGATAAATCCACAGACTAAAGCTGGAAGCACTGTATATGATGATTTGAAATGATTTGCCCATTTGAAACGTAAACTTGCCCTCTAAGTAATTCAGTCTTTATTTACAACATTTTGTTATGGCCGGATTATCTTTAGTAGTAGAGGAACAAAATTATTTATTTACCATTTTTCCTTTCTTTCTGATCAACTTTACGTTTTCCATTTGAATTTTGTTTTAAGATAAAATTATCCTCCACAGATGTAAACAGCTTATAGAGTAATCATAGTAATAACGGTAATAATAATGATAATGCTGATTCCAGGACAGGCACGACTGGAAAAATTACTTTCAGCTAATTCACAATGTAGTCCAATTACACATTACAAATACCCCTATTATTGACACATCTTCTGTTGTATCTCATTAAACAAGACATACTTGAGCACAGAGAAATGTGTTTTGTAATCTGTTTTAATACAACTCACCAAGCAGAAATCAGCTCTGTCAGAATTGTCAGGAGCCTGTATTTCCTGTAAAAGCAAAGGCAAACCTTGTGTGCATTGAATGTTCAGGTTTGCTTTCTTGTCTGAGAGTTAGGAGTGGAACATGGACAAAGTTACTAAGCAGATAAATCCACAGACTAAAGCTGGAAGCACTGTAAAGAGATTTCAATGTCAAGGGACTTCCTGGTTAACAAAGGTTAAATAAATAAAAAGAAACTACCTTGGTACTGTATTCCCTGTCGCAGACTGCCCGAACGCCAGCAAGGGAAGCAGCTGTGGCTCCACCTTACAGCGAGTATTTTGGCACTAAAATTGACTTGTTTATTGTTTACTTGTCAGTCACTCCATCTTTGAGAGGCTGAAAAACAACATCTTCTGCCAAGTGTGAGGAGGAGAACTTGTCTGTCTAGAGATACATGGGGTGGAGTCAGAAGAGTGTGTTTGTGTTGGAGGTAGATGAGAGCGTACCTGCTACTGAAGGTGATTCTGCATGCATTGTCGGACTTCACAGCAGAGGATCTTGCCATGGATAGTGACTTTGGACGCTTGACAGAAATGGTAAGCTGTGAGACTCTCTCTCAATGGGTTGTATTGGATCAAAATGTCTTTCAGTAAAGTCAACAAAGCAGCTGTTCTATTATTTGCTGCAGGATTTGTCTTTGGTTGACTTTACACTTACTGCTTAAATGTGTGAGTCTATCTCCCAACACTTTCTGACTTCCCTACCTGTCTTTGGCACTGGTTCCTACTGAAGATTGCAATCTTTAAAAAGTTTTATTTAGTTAATTTTTTTCAGGCTCATTAATTTTCTCAAACAGCAGTTCATTTAAGCGAGCTGCAGTTCTTAACGTTCCTCTGTTTGCTTTTGCCGCAGGATGCAATTCGCACTCTGAGTGCACTACAGACCGATGCAAGTGCGCTGGAGATGCAAGAGCAAACGCGGATTTGTCCTCAGCTGAAGCTCCAGGCCATGAGAGGCTTCCTGGAGCGAGTCGGCATCACAGTGAGTCTTATATCTGCCCACATTACATATACATAAAAGAGTAAAATAGAGTAAATATTTCCTTTAGTCTTATCTGATGTGTGTGTGTGTGTGTGTGTGTGTGTGTGTGTGTTTGTCAAAGGCAGAGGATCTGGACCATCTCAATATCATTCATGTGGCGGGAACAAAGGGAAAGGTGAGCTGACTAAAAACTGTGTAGTATGATGTCTTTTTAAAGGTTGAGTCAGTAATTAATCATTTTGGTCTCTAAGAAAAATAGTTCAAATCTCCATCCCACTTTAGTCCAAGGTGAACTGTTTAAATGTCTTGTTTTGTAAAATCCAAAGTTAGTCAGTTTAATATGATATGAAACAGAAAAGTAGGAAATCTCCAAAGATCAGAGGCTGTAAGCTGCATTTTATGTCATTTTTGCATTAAAAATGTACTTTTATCACAATTTTATTTATAATAAGTCGATCGACTAAGTAATTGAATTGAACTCATTGTGGATGGAAATAAACAATCTAATTTAGAAACAACTACGATAGGTGTTATAATTTTGAGCAGCTTATTTCCTGTAAGCATCACAGATGAGTTTTCCTTTTGTTTCTTTCTGTTGCTGTCTGTAATATGTTTTTTTTTTTTTAACAATCATACAGGTTTAATAGGCTTTCTTTTTAACTGCATACTTTTCTAATTCAGGATGAGGCTGTTTATCAGAGTGAAGGCTCTATGAACACAGCTTGTGTTCAGGCCTTTTAAAGTTCAGATCTTAAATAATAATCTAAACTTTAATTTCATTTAGTTTTCTCCACAGAAATGAAAGCAAAATGAGATATAGGCTTTAAAATCAAGAAGGCCTTGCAACCTCCACCTGCATTCTTGACAACGCCTAGGTTGGGAACCAGTGGTCTAACTGGTTTAAGTTGTCAGGGTGGCATGTGAGTGTGTAATCACCACTCTGTCTGGTAGTGGTTCACGTCGGCGTTGGTTATGACACAATAATAATAATAATAATACATTTTATTTAAAGGCGCCTCTCTGGACACTCAAGGACACCGTACAACACATAAAAAATAAAAACAGTAAGAAATAAGAAACAGGAAAAGACGATGTAGATGGTTAAGTGGGGTATGCAGTTCTGAATAGGTGAGTTTTTAGTCTTGATTTGAAGAGTGTGAGAGAGTCCACAAGCTCTGGCACGTCACACAAACATGTCTTCATCTTGGATGACCTCTTACATTTTTGTGTTTGTCTTTAAGGGCTCAACATGTGCCTTCACTGAGCGGATATTGAGAGGTTACGGCTACCGCACAGGATTTAACAGGTAAAAATGCAGCGTATGAACAAAATGTACACAATTGGTGTCTGTGTCTTATTGACACATAAGAATATATTATCTGGCCCTAAAAAAAGATTATATATTGAACTGAGATAGAAAGCAGAGACAGATCCTAACCAAGTCCAGGCTCACTGACCACAAACTGGAAAATGAAAGAAATAAAAAATTATGGCAACCAAAAGAAACAGAGTGCGATCGACAGGTGAGGACAGAATCAGAAATACTTTATTGATCCCCGGAGTGAAATGAGTAAAAGGAGATCAGATATTGAATCTCTGTCAGCTGATATTCAAACTGCAGCAGGCGGTGCTGATTCTGTGACAAACTTTAATCTCTTTACCGCTTGTAGTGTCGGCAAAGACACAGCAGAACCTTTTACATGTCACATATTATTGTAATAATACTGCAGGCTATTGTCCTGAGGCATACAGTGTTTCTCCCGATATCAGCTGACAACGGTGGAGTTTGGCCTGTAATGTGATCAACTTCAAGCAGTGAAAAGTGGCTCCTGTTTTCCTGCTTGGTTGCAGTTCCCCACATTTGGTCGAAGTCCGGGAGAGGATTCGAATCAACGGACAGCCCATTGGAAAAGAGCTCTTCACTAAATACTTCTGGCAGGTTTATAGACGGCTGGAAGACACTAAGGTAGGTCACGTGTAGTGACAGCTGGCTGTGGCTGCTCCATTCAATAGATCAACCTGTCGTAGAACAGAACGTGAAAATCTCTGAAGCTTGTGTTCACCGCAGACCTTAATTCAGGCATCAAACTGAAAAACATTCAAAATAACTATTGACTTTGAGAAGAGGGAACCGGAGGTGCAAAGATCCTAACTCGTTTCCGGGTTTTAGAACTCATCCTGCAGCACTTTACTGACTTTAATATAAAATGAGACCCCTCTTGTCAGGCTGGAAGACTCAACTCAACTTAACTTAACCAGTATTCAGTGTGCAGTTAAATGTTTTTAAGGACACATTCGTGGTCAAGCAACCTCTCACAAAGTTACTTGACCTACTGTTTATCTCTCTCTCTCTCTCTCTCTCTCTCTCTCTCTCTATCTATCTATCTATCTATCTATATATCTGTATATCTATATGTATATATATATATATATATATATACTATATATATACACTATATATTTGATTAAGGAATGAGAAAATAACTAGAAATGTTTCATTGCAGTGATGTATTAAAAAAAGCCACTGGCATTGTGAATGAATGGGCTGAAAGCAATCCCATGGACCAATTTAGTGAGAAATAATCTACACGTACAGGCTTTAATGTTGTGTTTGTGAGTGTTTGTGGCTGTGAGCGTGGAGATTTACGTACCATTTAAGAAAACAATTATGTAACATTTGCATTAACTGGTGTATGTGACTGCAAAGAGAGCTCACACACATGGTGATGCAGTCATTTTAATTCCTCTCTTTGACCCCTTCAGGACACCCATGGAGGGATGATGCCGCTGTGCTTCCCTTTTCTCACCGCTTTGGCCTTCCATGTGTTTATTCAAGAGAAGGTACACATTTCCAGCCATAAAATTTCAATCTGATGAGTTTCCGCTGTTTTCTGGCCTGTAGAAAACTTCGGAAATGATCATTCTGAGGCCCACTAGAAAGGCAACACGTTTTATTACTTAATGACTTAAAAAATAACTCTAATCTGAACCGCTCTGCTCTTCATCCAGGTAGGTGTAGTTATACTTGAAGTTGGGATTGGTGGAGCATATGACTGCTCCAACATTATAAAGTAAGACTCTCCATTTATAAATCTATAAAACTTATTAAATTATTTTTACCGTCTTGATCACAAATTTGAATCGAACTATTCCATCCATTTGTCGTTAATTCACTTCAGATCAGACACAAAGATTGTCTGTCTTGTCTGAGCCTTGCAAGGTTCAGGGTCAGACAGTAGAGGGTGTGTTGAGCCATTTTCAAACCATGAAATGCTGATTTTCCTAAATTTGACAGATGAGAGATAAGTTTTCAATAAGTTTGCAGCTCAAAAACCCTTTACTGTCACTATATAGATGTGTTTGAAGCTCCATCAGCGTGGTAATAAAATGTTTGTCCTCCTCTGTGATTGTGTGTAGGAGGCCGTGGGTGTGCGGTATCGCCTCTCTGGATATAGACCACACTGAGATTCTTGGAGACACCATTGCAAAGATCGCCTGGCACAAAGGAGGAATCTTCAAGGTGCGTTGGCCGCACTCATCAGTAATGTAGCACTGTGATTGGACAAAATATGAATATAAGTAATAAGACCAAAACATGCTACTTAGTGGATACTTCCTAGCTTTTTGGTGCTTTCAGCTTCATCTCACAGTCTTCATCAGCACTGGGAGTTTGCTTGGTTTTTGGTTTGATTTTGAGTAATCTCTATGAAAACTGCGTCCACTGATGAAGATTGTGCTTGAAAGTGCCGGGAAAAGCTAGTAAGAGGTCCTTGAGTCAGCTGGGACAGAGACGGGTCTGATGGATGTAATGATTTCTTCATACTGAAGTTCACACTTTGTGGGGAGATATTGAAATCCTTTAAGATAAAACTACTCTTTCTACTCGTCCACCTCTCTGTCGTCTGTTAATCATATACACGTGTTTTCAGCCGGGGGTTCCCGCCTTCACTGTCCAACAGCCAGAAGATGGGTTGGCTGTGCTCAGGGACAGAGCTGAACTGATAAGAGTAAGTCACCCTTCAGAGTAATACCTGCAGTGAAGTTTTATATAAACTAGGTTGTTGAAATCTCTCCTCCAGCGGTTCAGTTTGGTGTATTAAAGGCTAACCCTGTTGTTGTAGTGTCCTCTGAGGGTCTGTCCGGAGCTGGAGGACTACCAGGCAGACTGTGGACCTTTGTATCTGGGCCTGGCAGGGAAGCACCAGCACTTCAATGCCTCCCTGGCCCTCCAGCTGAGTCACACTTGGCTGCAGAGAAGATGTCTACCAGGTAGGGCGAGATGTTGTACTGTCAGTGGCTAGAAGGACATCATAAATCCAAAAGTGAAAGAGATTGGCTTGATAAGAGAGTAACTATCTCTGTTTGGGACAGGGAAAATCTATAGAAAATAAATTCTGTACATGTTGCAGCCAAAAAAATCCCTTTTAACAGCCAGTTGCAGCTGACGCAGAGGTTGTGTATTCCATGTCGGGAAATGACTTAAGGTCTGTCTGCATAACGTGTCCTCTCTCAACAGAAAGCTTAACCTCCACCAGTGTTGAGAACGCAGGGCTACTTCAGCTGACTTTCTTCAAGCCCAGCCCCATCATGGTGAAAGGTGAGTTCCTAAAGAACAACAACCAATCACTGTTGATAAGAGCAAAATCAGGACAGAGATTGTTGCTTTCGCTGCTTTTCTGAAGGGGTCAAAGAGAGGAAATGAAATGACTGCATCACCATGTTTGTGAGCTCTCTATGCAGTCATATACACCAGTTAAAGCAAATGTTACATAAATGGTCCTCACAAAACTGATCTGACCTTGTGACTGTGACCAAATGCTTATCAGTCACCCCCTTACCATAAAACACAAACCCCCTTAAGCACTCTATATACATTTACTACCCATCCAACACTTTCATCCCCCACAGCCTGTTCACGTGTTAAAATAAGAAGGACTGAACAGAGCCAGTCGATGAAGCACATTAGGACTCGATTGTTGCTGCAACATTAGCATATGTGAAGGCAAACAAGCTAAAGCTAAGCTAAATGTGCAGCCAATACAGTGCTGACAAAGACTGAATGGACCCGTCCTATGTCCCTCCCCTTTACGTGCTCTCAGGGCTGGCGGACACACAGTGGCCTGGAAGGACTCAGATCCTGAAACACGGAGCAGTCACCTTCTTCCTGGATGGAGCTCACACAATGCGCAGCATCCAGGCCTGTGCAGCCTGGTTCAGAGAGACTTCAGCCCAGCACCAAAAGAATGCAAGGTGAACGTCTCTATGTGTGTGTTAATCTAGTTATATATTAATATATTGCAACTTAAGCCGAGACATCATGCAGAAATGTTGTTTTTTTTTTACTGGTCAGGTTTGACATTTTGGGCTATTTTGCTTCCCTAACACGTCTTAAAAAGTTTATTTTACAACACTTTGTCAATTTGCGTCTGTAGGTTTCTCTTAAATTTGGCAAAACTTAGTATTATATAATGCAATATAAATCATGTGCATACTTTAACATAACATTTCAGAAAACTTGTGACACAAACAAAAATTGTCTTAACATAAGTAATCATCTGGGGAAGTTTCGTGGTTTCGTGTCTATTAGTTAAAAGTTTTACCCTATTTGCCTCCCTTAAACATTTAAGGAAAACTATAGTTTATTAAAATTTGGGTTTTGTTTTCTGAGTTTTTGCCCTCGCTAAGAAAACTGTAACACTACTCACCTCAGTAATTTTGGAGTTGTGGGTAAGCGGTGATTTCAGTAGAAATAAACCCCTGTGGCGTAATAACTGGTTGCTCTTTACCTTTACAAACACACCAATAATGATACTGACTAAAACCTGGACATGTTTGTGTTGCAGAGGACGTGTGGCCAGAGTTTTGATGTTCAGTATCAAAAGAGAGAGAGACTCAGCAGCCATGCTTAAACTACTGGTGGTGAGTACGGCTGCCTTCCACGACACAGAGAATAAGACCACTGTCTTTGCTACTGAGCACAATGTTATTATTATTAATATTATATGGATGTAGAAACTAATTGTATTTGTTTTTACTTGTGTTTCTTTTCAGCCGTGTCATTTTGACTTTGCTGTGTTTTGCGGTTTTGCCTGTAATGCAGGTGAGATCAGCTAACAAACTCTACCTGAAAGAACTGACCCTTTAAGCTCTGTGCACCAATAACAGTTGAGCTAAGCCTTTTGGTCAGAACCTCAGTCAATTCCTCCTTTCCTGTACTTAGATATGCTAAGTGCTAGGCTAATCTATGTTGAAAAGACAACCACATTTTGAAGCTGGTTAGGAAGCTGCACTCGATTTTTACTTTTTTATGTATGTTCTTTCATTCCCCCCCCCTCAGACCATACTGTCTCAGCAGAAGACAGGTTGCAACGTTGTTTGGACATGGAGAGGAGCTGGCATCTCCACAGCAGTGGGTGGGATAACAAAGGTACACAGCTGCTCTCCGAGGACAGCCTGCTCCCGCTCCCTGAAAAGAAAGGAGACACCCTGGTCTTCCCCTGCACCCAGAGCGCCCTCCAGTGGATCACTCAGGGCAGGGAAGCTGCTCCGCTCTGTGATGCAGCCGAGATCCATGTGCTCACCACCGGAAGCCTCTACCTGGTGGGTGGAGTACTTAAACAATTCGACCCAGCTTTCTCCAAATAATTGGACCATGTGAAATAATTGAGTTTAAATAATGGATGGTTGCTCTGCTTATTTACATGAAGGAGTAAGTTAAAGAATAAGTTTTCTGTTTTTTACTAATTTGGAACCTTTCACAATCTGTTTTTCAAATTAAAGCTATTTTGCATGATTTATACTTTTATATTGTAAACATCCTAGAAAACCTGGAAATTGATTCAAATTACCAAATATCTTGGAAATTAATTATGTTGTTGTGGTAAATGTTCCGATGTCCTACGTTAACAATGGGTGTGCGATATGACACAAGCAACTACGAGCGTCTGCTGTCCTGTATCATCAAGCACAAAAACATCCAGTACTTCAGAATGTGTTCAACAGATTTATTGTCCATTTTTTAAAGTAATAAAACAAAATCAAAAGTGAAAAAGTGAGAACACAAACTCACCCCCTCACTTTATTTGCCATGCAGGTGAACAGGTGAAATAGTAGATAAATAAATAGACAAGGATTATTGCCGGTTATGTGGCTCCTACAACCCGATTTGGTGCTGATAAGCTGAGAATCCAACAGGTTCACATTCCACAATACAAATGCAATTCAAAAAGTCAACAATAGTGGCAACTATAATCCTACCATACAACGTTAGACATAAATATTGCATTTCCATTTCTAAGGTCCAAGGTTGGGGGCACTATAAATACCAAATGGCACCTGCAAGGCTCTGGCTCAGGTTATCTACTCAATGTCAGCACAGTACCATGTGGAGAAGATCAAAGGGAGATGTGTAGACACATAAATAAAATACATGTAAATTGGGGAACTAGAAAAATGACTAGTAAAGACAGAAAACGGTCATTCCCTCGGGTTAGGGGTAGTTGTAGGGGGTTAGAGATAAAATTGACGTAAGAGTACAAAAACTGGCGATTCCATCTCCAATGCTACAGGGGAAGAGTAGATATTAATCATAAATATACAAAATACATGAATTGTCCTCACAATAAAATACATAGAGAAAGAGGGTACCATACAGAATACATTAATAATATATATTACAAGTTGGGGGAGGTTAATATCCTTTTTTATAGAACAGATATTAATGATCCCCTCCAGATGTTTTTATGTTACAACATATACAAATAACCTGCTTGGAACACCAATGTGT